TACCTAGTTCAGTTTGTTACTGATTTGTTTCATGAAAGGAGAATAATTTAAAGCATGCTGTAATTTGAATGATTAAATGCTTATTCAAAACATTAACTTACTGATGAAAACATTGAGATATATTTAAAAACACCCAGCTCAGTTGAGTTAATCAACTGTAACCGTATGATTGCAGGTGTTTTCCCACACTGATGGGCAGCTAACTGAGGTAGTGCTGTCCAGTACACTCAGCTCTCGATTGTCTGTGGTAATGGGAAACAACAATGCGTGGGTAAACCTAAAACAAAATACTGTCTAGTACCCTCCCGTCATCTGCTGTGGCCTGAGCACATGCTTGGATCCCAGGATGGAGATGTGGGGTTGGGTCTCAGGCTTGCAAGGGAATTGGGACTCAGTAGATTAGCTCAAGGTAATAAAAGGTATCCTGGAGGAACCTGGGTTTGGCTCTGTGTTGCTGATGTGTCATGGGGGGAGCCTGCAGCACAGCATGCAAGACCAGCTTGGCAATAGCAGTGAGAAGGATGGAGAAGCAAATTAAGTCTGTGTTCATAATAATAGATGTTTAAGTCCTGCACAGTTGCTTAACAAGTGGCAAACAATAATAGCATTAATAGCAGTATACTTGCATTAGTTTGATCTTCTTTGCTAGCTAAACACGTTTTTTACTTGCCATAGGTGGGTGCTATAATTGAGCCTCTTCTAAATAAAAGTAAGTTTATTGTCATATAACTGCAGTCATACCTTGGCAATTTTATGGTTTTGGTTACAGACCACTGCAGTAAAGCTGGTTATGTAATCTTTTTGCTGGTGGTGGAGTGTCTTGCCTTCAGTATGTATAAAAAAACGCCAACACCTGTGAAGCACGATAAAGCTAAGTGTAATAAACCAAAGTATGCCTGTAGTAACTTTAGAAAACCAGGATGAAAAGGGGGAAAAAAAGAAAACCAGGATGAAATTGAAATACTTTTTTCTTATTAAAATTCTCTATAAGTATCAGTGTTGAATTTAACTTAATGCATTTTAGAGTAATGTCAAATATTATTAAAGGCAAAAACAATGATTACTGAAAGCTATGAGTTTGATTTTGGAAAAACATAGTAATCACATTTTTGTTAAATATACATTGTAGGAGCTCTACAAAAGGTCTTTTAAAACTAACCGTCCTGAGTTCATGAATGTTAAAGCAGGATTTTAGGTAAATGTTGGGGTGTTCATTATATTATTCTGTCTAATTTGAATACGCTTATTGCATTGGCCAAAAAGTCTGTAATTTTTTCCTGTAAAATAAAAGACACATTTTTTATTTTCACCAATAACTATTGATTTGGATATTTTGAGTATGTTGGCTAGCTCCCATGTTGATTGTTCTCAATTAATGTCTCAATTTGATCACTGTCAACTTCAGCTGGTCTGTTTGACTGGGGAGCATCGTCTGGCAAGGAATCTCCAGCCTGAAAGTTCACAAACCACTTTTGACACGTTTGATTAGTCACAGCACTGCACAAATCTTGTGTGTGTGTGTGTGTGTGTGTGTGTGTGTGTGTGTGTCAGTTGCTTTTTCACGTGTCTTGAAATAAAAGTTAATATGCCAAAATGTGTATTCTATCTTCAGTATTAAAATCACTATACAAAAATTCATCAATTTTGATAAGTTGTTTTTAAATACATGCTGCTTTGACAGCTGTCACAATACAACCAAAGAAAATTATTTCAAATGAAGTTAAAGACAACTATGCACTACTAGAGCCATCTTACAGTAAAAACCAAATGAACTTATTGGCTGACTCAATATTTTACGCAAGAGAAGGCTTTGAAAAATTTGACACAGGTGATTGCTAAAAACTTCAGAAACTTCTAGACCAAACTTTCTTCTTATTTATGGACTAGATTTATTCTCCATTAAGTTGTTATTCAGACTCCAAATAAAACCATAGCTATTTTCTCCCATCCAAGTACTAACCAGGCCCTATCCTGCTTAGCTTCAAAGATCCGACGAGATCGGGTGCATTCAGGGTGGTATGGCTGTAGACTAAAACTGTAGCTATTTTCTAAAGGCATGTTGATTCTATCCAAGGAAATCCTATAGTTTAACCCAGTGTATTAGTGGGATGGCAAGAATACAAATTACATTCTTTGATTTTCTTAATCATACATTATTTTTATTACTGTAGATATTTTTTAAAAGTTAATGACACCAAATATCTGTACTTAGGCATTCATTATATGCATTAATCTTGAGTCAGTGCTTGTTCAAAGTTTGGAAACAATTGATATTTGAGAGTTAAAAATGATAACATAGGGGCCCAGCAAATTAGTCCATCCTCTAGTTCATTGTCTCTCAACCAGGGCAATTTTACCTCCAGGGGAACATTTGGCAGTGTCAGTTGCTTGTTCACAACTTGGAGCGGGGGCGTACTAGAGGTATTTACTGGGATGCTGTTTCATTCCCAGCCCCCCACAACAAAGAATTTATGTCCCAAAATGTCAGTAATGTCTATGTCCAGAAATCTTACTCTAATTTTTTAAATATGTAGTTACTCTTCTAAAGTAGACAGCTAGAAACATTATATAGCCAAACTAACATATTTTGACTTTCTGTAGACATACGTCTTGAGAATTATTTTAAAATATGCCTTCATTTTTTTTTTTTACTGAGAATTAATATAAGCAGCAAAGAACATTTTTCTCCTTGTAGTTCCTTCAGCCATTTCCTTTTAGAGTTTAATGCTGAAAAACTTTCAGTTTCTTGATAAAGGGGTATATTTTCTTGCAACTCATGTTTCTACTTTGCTTTCTCTCCCAGGAAGCTAAGAGGCCAGTCTTATGCCCTATTATAGTAGCTATCCCTTACTTAGGCTTATAGTTTTGAGATCTTCTCCTTTGCTATGTTGGTCCTACTTTTATTTTTACCGTAAAGGTCTGTTGTTTGGGGCTACCTGTGTATTGGTGTAAGCAATAAGTGGAAAGTTGCTGCTTCCTTTTAATTTTCCAGAGATTTATTAATATTTCCAGCATAAGAATTTGAAATTAAAGTTCCAATTTGCTATAATCTCAAGAGTTTTATTATGGTTCTTTGGGTTTCCATTCTTATGTTTTTATTTGTAAATAAGATAATTACATTTCTAAAAATTAAGTGTAGTAGAAACAGTGTTTCAAGGACTGCATTCTGATAATCTTTTATTAATATGACAAAGACCAGTTTCATAAAAATAAGTGCATATTTTATTTGTTTTTTGTTTATTTTGAAGCATACTTAAGTATAAAGTCTTCCCAGTCTATATTGTTAATGATTCAGGATAACTCATTAAAAATTAATTCAGAATGAGATTTCTTTCCATTTCTCTGAAGATAAAAATAAGTAAATTCCAGTATTGTCACTGATAACTCATACTTCTTTTCTCTGTTATAGCTCCCCCAAGTCATTGAAAAAGAAAGCAGATTTCATAATTTACCCAACATGCACAGAAAAAGCTCAGGTTATTTTTGTCTTAAAAAGAAATACTTAAAGTGATAAGGTTATACTACCTCAGCTAGTGGTTGATTTGATGCTTTATTTAGATATTTATTAGTTCTTTTTTATTTTTAATATATATTTTATTAATTATGCCATTACAGTTGTTCTATTTCCCCCCTTCATTCCTCTCCACCCTGCACACCCGCTCCCCCACCATCCCCCCTTTAGTTTATGACCACGTGTCTCAAGTTCTTTAGATTCTATATTTTCCCTACTATTCTTGCCCTCCCCCCTATCTACTTTCTACCTACCATCTATGCTACTTATTTTCTGTACCTTCTCCCCCCTTCTCCTCCTCCCATTCCCCTGTTGCTAACCCTCCATGTGATCTTCATTTCTATGGTTCTGCTCCTGATCTAGCTGTCCTCTTAGTTTTCTTTTGTTTTAGGTGTGGTTGTTAATAACTGTGAGTTTACTGTCATTTCACTGTTCATATTTTTTATCTTCTTTTTCTTAGATAAGTCCCTTTAACATTTCATATAATAAGGGCTTGGTGATGATGAACTCCTTGAGTTTGATCTTATCTGCAAACCACTTTAACTGTCCTTCCATTTTAAATGAAAGCTTTGCTAAATAGAGCAATCTTGGATGTAGGTCTTTGGATTTCATGACTTGGAATACTTCTTTCCAGCCCCTTCTTGCCTGTAAGGTCTCTTTTGAGAAGTCAGCTGACAGTTTGATGGGAACTCCTTTGTAGGTGACTGTCCCCTTATCTCTTGCTGCTTCTAGGATTCTCTCCTTCATTTTAATCTTGGCTAATGTAATGATGATGTGCCTTGGTGTGTTCCTTCCTGGGTCCAACTTCTTTGGGACTCTCTGAACTTCCTGGATTTCCTTGACGTCTATTTCCTTTGCTAGATTGGGGAGGTTCTCCTTTATTATTTGTTCAAATAAGTTTTCCACTTGTCCCTCTTTCTCTTCCCCTTCTGGTACCCCTATAATTCAGATGTTGGAATGTTTAAAGATGTCCTGAAGGTTCCTAAGCCTCTCCTCATTTTTTTGAATTCTTGTTTCTTCATTCTTTTCTGGTTGGTCATTTTTTTTCTCCTTCAGGTCCACTCCTTTGACTTGAGTCCCAGTTTTCCTTTCCAGAAAGGAAGGTTTCCTGTGTATTTCCATTCATTTCAATTAGTTTAGCTTCCATATGAAATTTGAATTCCATGTAATTTTTACACGTAACAGCATTATTTTTTTTTCTATTTTTTCAGCCATTACAAATGTAAACATGACTTTGAGCTTTTGGGTTGTGAAAAACAGGTGGTGGGCCATACTTCATCTGCCAGCCATGGTTTGCCAACCCTTGTTTTAGTCTAAAATTAGAGAAAGTTGGTAATGGGCCAAAAAGGAGAAGACTGAGCAGTTGTGGTTAAGAATATGAATAATGATGTTAAATATGTTGAACATTTATATCTTGATTTTTCTGGATATTAGAAAATATTCAGGAAAATGTGGGTATACATTTTTGTGTTATGTTTATATTTTTCAGACTGTTGATATTCATAAAGAGAAAGTTGCACGAAGAGAAATTGGTATTTTGACTACCAATAAAAACACTTCAAGGACACATAAGATTATTGCTCCAGCCAACCTTGAACGACCAGTTCGTTATATTAGAAAACCTATTGACTATACAATTCTAGATGATATTGGACATGGAGTAAAGGTAAGTATAATTTTTGTCAGGTTGTTTAAAACAATAGCCCAAATTGGAACTAACTTTTTAGAAAATTAAGCTATTATCTTTCCTTCCCTAGAGAGCCAAGTCTTGGCCCAGTTATGGTTCTGAAGATTCCCTACTGCTATAAACTGGTTTTATCTTTAGTTGCTGCTGCTTAGTGCTGTGTTCTCCAGTTTTAAATAGTTATCTTTGAATGAATTGCATTTGCTTAATTATTTATGATAACACCTCACATATATGATAAGTGAGATATAATCTTTCTAATTTTTTAATATAATTGATTAAAAGTCATTCAGTGTGTTATTCAAGTATTTATCTTAGTTTGTCAGCAAACTTTTGGCATTAGTTTTCAGAAAGAACATAATTAAATAAAAATGTACTTTGATTTTTCTAAAATAATTTTAATATTTTGAGTAAAAATAGTGTAGATAAAAGTAGTATGTGAATTAATATTCCTGCTGCTCTTGCATATATAGTCATTATACTTTTTGACTATCTTCTAAGATGTATTTGAGTGCCTGCTATGTATACAAAATACCATGATCAAAATTTGATGGGCATACAAATTTTATTTAAATTGGTATTTGTACTTAATAAAGTATTTGGTATTTCAGTTAAGTATTAAGTTACTTAAATGTTTGCATTTCATCAATGATTTTAAAGATAATAAAATGACTTATCAAATGTGACTTTGAGTAAATATATATGCTTATAAGTGAAACTAGTTTATGCAGTTGATTTATAACTCTGTAAGCAAATTTAAATTGAAAAAATATCCTACACTAATATGGCTAAATATCAGTTAAATCTAACTTTAATTTAGATTTAGGTGAATGAAAATGTACAGTGTAAAGTTTTTAAAAATATTTTTTTCCTCAGAGTTTTGATAAGTCACTATTAACTGGAATTTGATATTTAATTTTATAATGAACACCTACATGCATTTAGATTACTGTATTAAAGCATGTTAAAATAAGATGTGTAATTAGATGGATAATTAATAACCGAAATTTATTCTAACTTGGAAAACCTTTTGAAATTTATTCAAGGCTAGCAACTGCTAATAGAAAATTTTAGGGTACTGCCGGAATCTAATGACTAAGAGGCACTTAGAATGTGTAAGAGGGAAAGCACACATCATATCTGTGCTTCCCCTCTTAAATTACATAAAATTAAAAAAGGTGATTTTTCCATTCCAATTCTTATTTAATTCTCAAGTAAAATGTTATTGTTTTGGGACTCTGTAGTCCTTTTCATTGTTTGAACTTTTAGTGTTTAGAGGTCACTAATTTGAAGAAATCTTTGATAAAGTTAAGTTTTTGAATAAAACAATGTCATATAATTTCATCAAAAAACTCTTGTTCATGACACATTCTGCTTTAACCACTCTTTCTATGATCTACTGAAACATTATTTTTTAATGCTGAATGCTAAACTTGTTTTTTCTTTTTTTCCTTTCTCTTCACATCCTGAAGTTCCAACTAACCTTTCAATGCTTTTTTTCCTTACCTCTTTTATTTGCTCCATTTATGCATTAAGTGGTTGCTTAGATTTAAGGTAAGAGATTCCAGGGCTGGATTTCCATTCTTTGTTCTTATGTAGAATATTACATATGGGGAGTATAGAGATATTTGGCAGTTGGCCTTTTAAAACCAAAGGGTAATTCCTCTCTCTATTTATTTTTTATTCTTGTTGTGCAGTTTTGTGGTGTCTTCATGTTCCGTGAGGGCTATTACTTTGTCTGTTCACTGCCCCATCGTGTGTGCCTTGAACAGTGCCTGACTGTTCATTAGGTGCTTAGCAAATATTTATTCAATAAGTGGTTATTCTGCAATGCTAATATATTTTTCAAAGCTGAAATGTAAGTTATCCTATCATAAAATGTCATTATGAAATAAAATTAGCTGGATTTTGTAAACGTAGACACTTTGCTATGTATTGGAGAGCCAACGAATGTGCTTTATTTAACCCTCCCCCTGTGTAATAGCTTTTTTATTCTATAAATGGTGTGCTTCATTATATATCTTGTGGCCATTATATCATTATCTCTTGACTCTTAATGTAAAGAAATTGAGAAGCAGAAAATATTGTTACAGAATTTTTTTTTTAAGTTGCAGTATCATGTATTTTGAAAAAAACAAAATTAGTCTTTTTTCTCAAATTGCCATATAAAATATGTGGTTCAGTGTAAAATCACTTTAATAGTTTTCAAACTGAGTATTATATGCAAAACATCAAAACTTGATAATGTTTCACAAAATACAAGTTAAGAATTAGAGAAATAATTTCCTTTTGTTATTTGTTTCAGTAACATTTTATTGTAATATTTTGGAGGTTTAACAGTAAAAGACATTATAGTATATTCAAGAAATCTGTCAAATAGTATGTCACTAAAATTTTCACCAAACTGACCCTACATTTCCTTTTTGGGTTTTTTCCCCCCTTAGGTGAATTTTATGATTTCTTTTTAAATACAATGCCTTTTTAGTATTCAGTTGTTTGCCATGTCTTCAATGTAGAAAGTGATAACAAGAAGACAGGATAACTGAGATCTGAATTATAACTAGCTACTAACCATGGGGTCACAGAAATTTCTGTGGCAGGGAGACATGACTAGAGAAGCCCAGGCTAATGCCCTTCTTGTGTGATTGATTCTCCCAGGGGTGTCCAACCATGGCCTGCGGGCCATATGCAGCCCAGGGTGGTTATGAATTTGGCCCAACACAAAATCATACATTTACTTAAAACATTGTGAGATTTTTTTTGTGATTGCATGTCACAGTGTATTTAATGTGTGACCCAAGACGACAGTTCTTCTTCCAGTGTGGCCCAGAGATGCCAAAAGGTTGGACACACCTGGAAGAGTATTGGCTCAATGCCCTACTTTTGGTGAATGAAGCGTGTGGAATAGTGAGGATGTTCCTTTTGCATAAAATAGGTAAAACTAAACCTAAAACTGTGTGGCTGCCTTGGCTCTTTTCCTCTAAAGCCTATATTCAAATTATGGCTATTGATGTGGTTAGCCAAATTATGGGTTACCTCCAAAGTGAATGAAGTACACAGAGATTAACTGAAGGAAAAGCACAAAAATGGACCAGTTCTTTTCCCTGAAAGTTTAGACCAGCTTGCCTAAGCTACTACTATTCTATGCTAATTTCCTCCAAATCCTGCTATGATTCCTTCTTGATCATCCTGGATTCAGGATCTCCATGTAGGAGATAGGCCAAAAGGAGTGGGAAGTGGCAGGGTCCTCGAAAGAAAGATCTGGGATAAGACTACTTAACATCTTTACTCTGTGTACCAAGCTCTATTCTTGAGTAGAGTGGCTCTGTCCAGTGTAGGTGTTTCTGCTATACCTGAGTGGAGTGGACAGGGTGGGAAGGGTACCCCGAGTTCATCCTAGAAGCTAAACTGTGCCAATGCTCTGTCTTCCTTCCTTCCTTCCTTCCTTCCTTCCTTCCTTCCTTCCTTCCTTCCTTCCTTCCTTCCTTCCTTCCTGTTTCTCTTTGTGAATTTGTCTGTCTCTCTATAAACTTGGGGCACATTCATAATTTGGGATAAATCAGAACAAAGTAGAGTGAAAAAACTAGTCCACATATAGCAAATCATTTCTCCTTTTATGCTGGGAAAAAAAGATTAGTGGTTTGGCAAGGGTGATTAATGGAATGATTGAATATATTAAGGTATAAAATAGAACTAAAGAAAAAAAAGTTAAAGTCGTCAGGGACTGCAAATAACAAACTAGTCCAGTAGTTTTTCAACTGAGCTTCCTGGTGACCTGTAGATTACTACATCAGGTGCCCTAGAAGCCGCCTGATGTTTGGTAGGGTTTTCTGCTACTTTGATTTCCTCAATGAGCTTTGCTTTTGCTCTCATTGCTGTCAGATTTGATGCCTTTGGGACAGACACTAAACAAAGTTTTTACTTTAGGATCAGACATATGAGAGTTGACTCAGAAGAGACCTCCATGCTTAAAAGTTGAATTTCTAACATTTTATACCTCATATTCTGGTGGTGTTTAATGGTTTTTTTAATCTGATATTTGGGTTGTTTTTTCTTGAGTTGACCAAGGAAAACAAATTGTAGAGTTTAATTCATAAGACCTTTGAACACAATGTGGTGATATTTTTACAACAGGCCTAAAAAGCCAACGGATAGAATGCCATATTGGAAATGTTTTAATAGGTACCAGAGGCCATGTTAAAATGTAATGTACCTTGAAGTGGGTACCCTTTCCCTACCCTTTAATTTACTTTATTTGTTTTGTTTTTTAATATATTTTATTGATTGTGTTATTACAGTTGTCCCATTTCCCCCCTTTATTTTTATTTTTTAAATATTTTATTTGTTTATTTTTAGAGAGGGGAGGGAGGAAGAGAGGGAGAGAAACATCAATCAGTTGCCTCTTGAGCACGCCCACATGGGGACCTGGCATGTGCTATCCAGGCACATGTCCTTACTGGGAATTGAACCAGCAACCCTTCAGTTCACACGCCAGCACTCAAGCTACTGAGCCACACCAGGCAGGGCTACCCTTTATTTTTATAGTAAAAAGAATTTTAAGACTCTGTCACTAATGTATTTCAAATGGATTTTTCTGCTTTTGAAAGCAGTAAAGTTGTCAATGAAGCTAAACTTAAGTACCTTTTAAGCGTATTAGTTTAATCAAAAATAGTAAAGACTTATCTGTTAATGTAGTATTTCAGTTGAACATTGCACAAGCCAATTCTACATAATTAACAAGGAAGTGGTTACAGGTTTATTTTATAACTAACATGTTAAGAATATAACACTTGAAAATTTTTCTTGGCATATTGAAGGTCCATAACTTAACTCTGTGTAAAATACGGGTTTAGTTTTCACTTGAGTGTAGTTTTTTAGCAAGTGTTGGTTATTACCTACAGATGATGATAAAATGCTCCTTATATTTCTAGTTTTCAGATAACAAGATTTATTTAGTACAACATTTGGAAGAAAAACTGTATTAACAACAACCCCTGGTAGACCTATCTGGTTTTGTCTGTTCCAGTCGTGAGCCACCAATTCTATTTGGCAAAAGTCAGTTGTCAGAAACAATTTTCAAAGTCAAGCAGGAGTTTGTCCATCTTTACTCCTGATCTCTTATTCTCATCTCTATCTTGGGTTATTTCTGGAGTCTTGTCACCTTAGACTTTTTGTCTAACTCAGTAAAGATTTTACCTCTCTCCGGAATTCATACTCGAATTCCTGATTTCAGTGTTAATTTCCTGTAGAGGATCTCCTGGCCTTTTTCCTGCCAGCCATGAGAATTGAAGTAGGAACATACATTCTCTGAGGAGAGGGATAGAGATTCTGTTCCTGGGTGGGACTAAAGGGAAATAATACCAGACAGTGATGAAGGTCAGGGGTGCTTGACCATAGCTTCCTTCTGCCCATCTTCACCACTCCACATCCAGACACACTCCTCTGTAGGCGAAGACTCCTCTTTATACATTAAATCCTGTTCTTTTTTATTTAGTAGTCCCACTCAGATTTTTCCCTATGAAACCTTCTGTAGCTATTTCTCCTCACATTGATACTTTTGGGGGGGATTTCTATATAATTTGTAGACAGTCCTTTTCATTTGAAACATATGAGTCACAAATTTCAAAATATTATAAGTTTTTTAGAAGTAGAGAAATCATTTTATAGACCTTTGTGTTCCCTCTAATGTCCCACTTATTTTTAATAATCACTTACCCCTGTACCGAGTCATCTGGTAGGGGGTACATGATGGAAAAATGAGGGATATACCACAGGTATCATTAAAAATGTGTGTGCCACTGTTAACATCACAGCAGGTCACCTGTCAGAGAGGGGATTTGTTTGTTTGTTTTTTGTCATTGTTGTGTTTTGTTTTTGTTTTTGGTAGCAGAGGTGATGTCCTTATTGAACCTGGCTGGCCAGCTTTATAAGAAATTCTGAAGTTCGCAGGGTACTTGAAAGCACTGAGGTTTGTAATGAGCATTGTATTACATGTCAGGGTTCAAGGAGGTATTGAATGTACCCCCAAAAAAGGTTAGAGCAGGAAAGGGAGGGGCACTGTAGAAAAAATAGTAAGGCCTGATGGTTAGTGCTAGGTGTAGAGATTTCTTTCCAAAGCCTGGGAGACCAGACCATTCTTGGATCATAAAGAAATTGCTGCTACCTTCTGTATTATATGTACTCCTTAGTCATGGGCTAGTGGGAAAGTATTTGAGCTGTGGCCGTGCATTAATCTTCATCACCTAAATGAGTATTTTTTCTGTTTTGAGGGTTTCTCTCCAGTAGGGAAAAAAACCCCAGGCACCTGCTTTACTTAGCTCTTAGTGATGACTTTCCCCTTTATGGAATCAAAAAATACCCACATAATCAAATTATTGTTGTAATCAGCTACCAAAGTTTCATTCTTTCAATTCTCAAATAAAACTGTAAAGATTGTAATGGGCACTTGCACTCATGATTCAGGACTATTAACTACACATTTAAGTGCCAGATAGATAGTTCTGCTTATGTTTGTAATTTTTTAAGTTTCATGTGGAATTGCTTTACTGAGCTAAGTGCAGAATTATTTTGTTTTCTTCTGTGTTTATGGTACATGTGTTCTTATTCCCTCTCATTGTTTCTTCTTTCCTCCCTCCCCCCAGACGTTTCTCCCCCTCCCTCTTTCCTCCCACGTCTTTCTCCCTCTTCATTCCTCTCTGTTCCTCTTCACCACACACGCAATTTAGTTGTGTGTTTTGCTACTTGTTAGGAAATATTATTTTCCTCTATAAATTTTTCTCAAAATAGTTTTTAGAACCATGATGACTATCCAGGAAATATTTTTATAAAAATATTTTAGACTTAAAATATAGTTTCTTTGATTTTAATACAAATTCCACCTCTGATTAAAAAAATTAAATTTTGTTTGGAAATTATTCCTATTCTCTTCCCTTTTCCTCAAACTAGATGGCAGGTTACATTCTGTGTAGCATATTTATTATTTTACTTACCATAGAAGCAGTTTACACAAAAGGAAGCTATTTAAGAATTAGTGAAAAAACCTTTTTGCTTAATATAAAGGTAGCACAGTATTCGTGAAGTATAATTATAGATTTTTCTCAACCTTCTATAGGGACTCTGGTTTCTTCAGTGATTTAAGTTATTCATCCAAACCTCATTTACCAAACAAATACAGTCATATAATGATTCTACAGATACAAAATGCAGCAAGTTTTATTTATAGAAATGTCCACCATATTTTAATTTATAAATTGTGTATGTTATATTTTGAGGGTTAGATTAAAAGACTTAAAAAAGAAGATACTGCAATTTAAACAAAAACACCTTATATACCAAAACCTTAAATCAGAGTTGGAAAGCTGTTTTCAAGTATTTTAGCTATTCCACGTATAGAATAAAATTCTCTTCTACTTTTTTTCTATTCCTGATCCTCTTCCTTCCTTTATAGCAAATTGATGTAGTTTAGTGTTTGATTCACCTACTTCTCCCTTCATCACTTGAAGTAACCTTGGAATTTATATTGTTTAAGGTTGAGCTTAAAGGACTTTGGTTACTAATTTAAAAAATCTTCTGTTGTCATAAATTAAAATTATCATTTTAAAAGCTATTGGTTATTTGTCATATTACTCCTAAAATTTTCCCCAAATGTGGATTGATTTTTTAAAAAATCTTCTGACATTTTCATTTTAAGATATGATTAGTATACCTCTCTGCTTATAAATGAGGGGGAGATCAAGGATAAGTTAATCTTTATTCTTACTTGATAACCAGTTTGTTTTATATTTGTTGCTAAAAAGCAACAACAAAAGGGCTACCAATAAATGTTTTGCTTGAAAAATACTGACATTTCAAAGGTATCATTTGTCATTAAAAATTGTTTTATCATCACACACAACTTGCTCACTGGGCTGTTCACTTGAAGAGTTTGTTTCTTAATATCATTATTTCTTACCTATTCAGATGACAAGTAATATTTTAGGATTTAAAAAATTCAGTTTGGTTTTGATAGTCTCAGTATTCTGTATACAATTATGATTTGTTTTCTTGAAGTTTTATTTTTGAAATTACATATAGAAATGTATTCTGATTTCATTGGTGCACTGTCTTGAAATTTCATTTTACAAGTATAATTTGAATACAGTACACATTCTTATTACAAAAGTTAAGATTTTTTTTGACGTGTTTGACATTCCGAAATATGAGGGGCTGAAAATACAGTCAGGTATAAACCTAGATGGTGAACATTAACTCTAACCCATTGGTAATCTCAAACAATTTGAGATTGCATTTGAATTTTCTTTGTGAAAGACTTTTCATAGCTCCTTAAAATATCCAGATTTTTAGGGCTTTCAGCGTAAGTGCTGACATACTTCTTTTGTGGCATCCGTTGTTCCCTATCTCCCAACTTTTCTACATTTGCACTTTCAGTTGGGGTTAGAGTAGTGAGAAGTAAGGCCCAGCTCTGATTTGTTGCTTATACCTTTCCTGTGATTGAATGAATCTTCATTTGGGGCCAAAATGGGTTTAATCCCATTGGAACTAGGACATTGCCTGTGGTCCCTGTACTGTTCACAGGTGAATGGGATAGCTCGGATAGCTCAGCCATAACCTTCCAGTGCAGATGTTTATAGGAACAGGACTTAACTTCTGGCAGTTTACAGGTAGGTGATTCCTTCATCCTAGAACATTAAAGAAATCTGAATTGTAAGGCTGATTTGCTATTTAAAAAACTAAAATTTTATAGGCATATCATGCAATTTAACTTTATTTTTATTCTCTAGTTACAGTGGAGCAACACCATAATTGCTTATTTTATTTGAGAAACATGTATTTTGTTTTGTATGATATACTTACTATCTAAAAAGACAAGGACTTGCTTAAGGGCATCATTGAGTCTGATTAAGTTTATTATTTAAGGATTTTATAGTTGTCCTATTTAATTTCAGTTGAATATAGTATCAAATAGTCCAACCAGTGATCTGTTGGTGTGATGGCCTAATGGCAAATAAAGTCTTTGCATACAAGTTTATAATTATTTGAAATTTCATGTTAGGAAGAGTCCTTTGAGTACAACTGTAGAATAATATAGAGTAGATACTGCATATGAAATGCATGGCCTCTAGTTTTCTTCCTGTTTAAACCTTCCCTTTCTTTGTTGAATAGCACAGTGTTATTTCCCCAGAGTGGCACTTTGTTTCACTGCATACAAGTTGAGTTTTCCTTAACAATTTTTTAGGTGAGTACCCAGAATATGAAGATGGGTGGGCTGCCGCGTACAACTCCTCCAACTCAGAAACCCCCCAGCCCCCCTATGTCAGGGAAAGGGACCCTTGGGTGAGTATATAACTAAGTAATAACTGGAAACCATTTCATGTAATGTTATTGAAAACTAAACACTACTTATAGTTAAATTATTTTTTAATATTTGAAAAGAGAACATTTTCTTCCTAGGATTATCTTTTTTGTGTGTAATTTTCCCTTTTCCTGGGAAACATTTTTATACTTTAAAAAGATTTTGTTTAGAAAATATTTTTCTACTGAATTTTACATTTAAGGTAAAATACTAGTCCAAGGTCATGGTTTATATAAATGGTACTCTTAATTTTTATTTTTATGAAAGTTTTAGTCTTTTGTATTATAGTTGGCCATTATTTAGACTTCCTCTGAAGAGCATTGTATAGATTACAAAATTTGGTAATTTCACTTTAAGAAAATATGAGCCTTAATTTGGATCTACAGGAGTGGGCTCTGGATTTGACTTTTGGCAGAAATGGTCAATTAATAGAAAAGATTGCCTTTTCTTCTGTAGCATTTTAATATAAAAACTGGGTTGATCGTGGAGATTTGTGATCAGATGGGCATAATGTACCCCAGAAGCTAGATGGCCAGATTGTGGTCCAGCTCTGCTCCCGTTCTTTGGTCTTACATAGTCAGCCTCTTAGCAGTTCGGTTTTTTCATCTGTAAAAGGGGGTAATATCTGTCATCTATCAACTTTTCAGAGTCACTACCATGAATTGGATTTTTAAAAAAATGTATAAAACAAAGACAAAATGCTGGAACAACCATTGGCTTTATGATTTATGCTTAGAAATTTCTAATTGACAAACTTGTTTTTGGCCCCCTCACCAAAAAAAAAAAAATCAGATATAAATGAAAACAAAAAAACCTAATCAAGTGCTGTGGATCAGAACAAGACAAAGATGAGTAGGGGTAAAAAGGAGGATAATGTTGGAAGAGGATGTATAGTAAAGGCAGTGGGAAACAAAAGAATAAAAATGAATTCCAGCCAGGAATAGGATTTTATTTGGGGTGGACAAAATATTTCTGCTTAGAGAGGAATGAATATAGTAAATCAAATAAAATTTAAACTTCAGGGTAGAATATAGATGACGTGGTAGGCTATAATTTTGCAGCAGTAAGAGTAGAGAGATTAAGAGGAAGAATTTGCCTTCTTTTCCTGGAAACATCTATAATTTTATTATATATCATACCTAATGGATTCTTAAATCAGGGTTGTTAGCAAGCTAACCCACTGTAGTCTCTAATAAAATAAAACTTTCCATTACTCTCAAATTTTGAAGATTTCCTCATATACCAGTATTTGTTTTCCTTGTGTAGTAGCAAGGGTTTTGCAGGGTCCTCAGAGTCTCTGAGTACCACATGCTGGTTGATGATCATAGCCTGGCCTTTTTTGCAGTTTCTGCCTAGCCACCATATTTTGTTACTGTGTCCCTTATTTTTTACCTTATATTTATCATTTTCCTCACTGTATAGTTCTCAGCCAGCAAAGGGTTTTTTCTTGGCTTGAAACAGAACATTGAAACACAGAATATTTTTGTTGTCTGGGAAGAATTGTCTGGAAAGCAGATGTTTAGAAAATTAATTGGTTTCTATTTTATGTTTTTTTTTAATATTTACGTCATAGTTTCAGAGATGCCAAAACTTCTTTTTAGTGTTTTAAATGCAGCGTCCTGTCATTCCTCCTTCTTCCTTTGCCCAGTGTCTCATCTAGTGCCCCTTATTTATTTATTCATTTGTTTATTTAGTTATTTTTAAAGATTTTATTTATTGACTCAGAGGAAAGAAGGGAAGAAAGGGAGAGAAACATCAGTGTGCAAAGAGATACATGATTGGTTGCCTCTTGTATACCCTCCACTGGGGACCCAGCCCGCAACCTAGGCCTGTGCTTCGACTGAGGATGGAACCAGTGACTCTTCCATTTGTGGGCCAGCGCTCAATCCACTGAGCCACACCAGCCAGGGCTGTTCGTAATTACTAATGTATATATGTATTTACGCAAGGAGATTTTGAGGGTAGTAGAGTGGATGAGTCCATGCAAAGTGATCTCACCCAAAATTGGTGAACCATAATTTGAATAACCCAGTAGAGTAGTATTTAAAGAAAACTTGGAAGCTTTGAGGGAGTGAGTTATTGAGAAATTTGAAGTTAAGTGAACAGTATCATTTCAGGAAAAGAAAGCTTTTTAATTTCACAATATGAGACCCCAATTTTTATTCTTTTAAAAACCAGACTCTCATCTACAAAATGTCAGTTCAGTGTTTATTACTGTCATAAAGAATCTGGAAACCATGTGTTGTACACCTGAAACTAATACAAAATAACACTGAATGTAAACTAATTGAAAAAAAATAAATAAAAATTTAAAATTATCTAAATGTTAACACACAAAAAAAGAATTTGGAAACCATATTTTCTTTCTAACTCTTGTTCTCTTCCTTTAAAAGGAAATTTGAACAAAAAAGAAATAAGTTAATAAAACCTCATTTAGAAAGACTTAGGTGGTCTTTGTCTTATTTTTCTTTTAAATGTTGAACTCTGAGGGAGGGTAAAAGGCAAGAGAGATCAAGGTGAAAGTTAAAGGAGGAAGTAAGGTGAGCATGGAAGATGAGATTAAATTATTTTTGTGTGGATATAGTTTAATTTTTATGTATTTAGTATGTAGAAAAAGAATTACAGGGTTATCATTGCTATGATCTTCAGTGTGGGGGTTGTGGAGCCTGTCTTTGAGTATCTTTGGTTAGGGAGAGAGGGGTGAGGAAGATAATTAGTGCATTTATGGAATGCAGTTGGGAGACTTTGACATGGTACTAAAACAACTTGAACTCAACCAAAAAAAAAAGAGTCTGGGAAACATCGGCTTACCTGGTGGGAGAATTTTTATGTTCAATGAGATTGAATGAACAAAATTGCATTTGCACAGGGAAATGAGGTTGGACACTAAAAAAATAACTCATCAAAAACCCTAATGACAGAGAATGATACTTAAGGAAAGACTGAAATTGGTAACTGGGTTATATAAAAACACATCTTTCTATCTCTGAGTACAAATCGTATTTCACTACTGGCAACTCTTTGAATTGATTGTGCCGGAACTTGCTAATCACACAATACATACGCTCTTCTTTTTGTAGGCGGCACTCCCCCTATCGCACACTGGAGCCAGTGCGTCCTCCAGTGGTACCAAATGATTACGTACCTAGCCCAACCCGTAATATGGCTCCCTCGCAGCAGAGCCCTGTGAGGACAGCTTCTGTGAATCAAAGAAATCGAACTTACAGGTATTTTCTCTGCCTCAGTGCAAAATGTGATGGTCATAGTACCATAATTTGTTCAGATAACTTCAGTTAAATTTCTCTCATTTTCCAAGCACTAAGTTCTTTTCCTCACTCTACTCTCCCAAACCTCATCTGATTCCACCTCTCTCTCCTCCTGTTCTGATACAACTCTGAGCAGTCAGGAAGCTGGGGGAAAAAGACATGTTCAAGTACAAACTTCTCTGCAAAATTAAGTTATAGTTGACCTTAAAAAAATTGTGGACCAGATATGGGAAATTTCAAGTTGTTTTTTGGTGGAACTTTACAGATGAAAAACTATATGCAATAAAACATTGATATGGGATAGTATATCAGAATATTATAAATAAAATTAATCTGTTCAGGAAAACTATGTTTTATCATAAAAGGAGTTTCTTCAGACAAGTATTAAACTGAAGTAAAAGAAAGTAGTATTATTTTTATGTGTTGAGCCCATCATTTATCATTTATGTTCATCAATTTTTTTCTTTCTTAATTTCTTTAATATAGGCTTATTAAAATGTGGTCAAAACAAGGTTCTTCAAGTCAGCTTTTCCCCCTACTAATATATTCATATTTGAAGTGCATGGCTTGAATTGTCTTTATTTTAGCTATATTCATTTTGGAAAATGTTGGGGAATGCTGGAGATCTTACTGTATATAATACTCATGTTTTGGTGGTTCCTGTTTCTTTAGCAGCAGTGGGAGTAGTGGAGGAAGCCACCCAAGTAGTCGGAGCAGCAGTCGTGAGAACAGTGGAAGTGGGAGTGTGGGAGTTCCCATTGCTGTTCCTACTCCCTCTCCTCCCAGTGTCTTCCCAGGTAAATCATGAATGCTGCTTCACCTTCACTTGTCCTTTCTGAATTTGAATTCAATTTCTGATTTAATTACAGCGGGCTTTCTTCATGATCAGGATTTATTTTCCTTTAGGTCTCCATATATGTTGGGAAATCTTTATTATGCATTTGTGATTTTTAACCAACTGATTTGTAAGTTTATGCTCACACACTTCTCTATAATTTGGTTTATGTTTTCGATGCTGTAGCTGTTGATGCTTTGAGGTTTCAGGTACCGCACTGTTATGCGGTATGTTTAATTCCAGCTAACGGTACGACAGTGCATGCCTTGGGACAGACAGGGCACTCAGTGTAAAAATTATATGTATAACAAAGGATTGGACAAACGTGTTAAATGTTTAAGTGTGTTAAAAGACAGTATTACAGTAGTTCTCACTGTTCAGTTTAATGGACTGTCGGAGCCTAATAGTCTCTGAAATGCTATCCTCTTCTCTCTGATACAGAAAAATGTATTTATTTAATCTGAGGATACCAAAGTTAAAATTTAGTTTTAAAAGCAGGACACAAAAGACAAAGGGATAGATATTACATACTTTATTTATTCTAATAAACAGATAGTACCTCTTCAAAAATCATTGAAAAGAGAAGATTTGTATTTTGCCTAATGTTTTTTCTACCTAGTAAGATATTTATGGCTGGAACGTATATGCTTTTTTTCTGATTTGTGTATTTCAGAATGGAATGGTGTTGTTTTCCAGTGTTTAGTTTTGTAATTAATTAATTAGAGAGAAACATCAGTTTGTTGTTCCACTTATTTATGCATTCATTGGTCGATTCTTCTATGGCTGGGGATTGAACCTTCAATCTTGGCATATCAGGACAATGCTTTAACCATCCGAGTACCCAGCCAAGACCTACTTTTGTATATTATTTACAAAGTGTTATGCTAAAGATTATAATATAAATGGGGTACTTTTCTTACAGAATAGTGGCTTTCAGATAAAAAAGAATGCTTGTTTTTAGTGAATTAAAAAATCTCTACCCTGGCATCTTGAATTATTTGCTTTACACCTAATAATCCCTTAACATAAGCTTTTTTTTTTTTTGCTTTTTACCACTCTCTTCTATTCTTTGGTTAGTGTTGAGCACTGCATATCTAACATTAACTTCTCTAATGCCTTTTCTAGTCCTGCCTACTGGGATTGCCTCGTTAATGCTGCCTCTCACTCCTCTTTCCCCTCAGCCCCTGCTGGCTCTGCTGGTACTCCTCCCCTTCCTGCTACTTCTGCATCTGCCCCTGCCCCTCTAGTTCCTGCTACTGTCCCTTCTTCCACTGCCCCTGAAGCAGCTGCTGGGGGCGCCCAGACCCTTGCTGATGGCTTCACTTCTCCAACTCCCCCTGTTGTTTCTTCTACTCCCCCTACAGGTGAGTATTGGCTTATTCCTTGGCAGGCAAAATCCAGTCATCTGGCTCTTCTATTACCTGGAACTCTGGCTTTATGATTTTTGTTTATTTGTGCTTTGTGTGTGTGTGTGTGTGTGTATGTATGTATATATAAATATGAAGAATAATTTACTAACTGGAAAATGACATGTGATCAAACTAAAATATACTGAGGAAATCAGGGTGAAGTTTCTCATACATTTTTCCAATAGAGCAACACAAATATATTTTTTTTTATTGCTTGGATTTCATTTACTAGAGGTTTGTGAATTTAATGTGGCGCTTTCTTTATATAGTTTTGAAAATTTGTCATTAGAAATGTTTGTTACAGGTTATTAATGAAAAGTCTGACTAATTCTAAGGTATATTTTATAGGAAATATCTGATATAGCTGTTTAAAAGTCTCTATATTTTAATGGAACCTGTTGTTTGCTATAGCAGCACTGGAAACACATAGACAATGAATGGATTTTTAAAGAATTTCAGATTTACTTGTTATTTAAGGTTGACTGAAATTATAGCCTAAAATTTATTTTTTTGATGGGGAAGGAGAAAAAGGTTCAATTGCCACAAAATATATTTGCAAAGATAATAGTGATGCTGGTTAGTAAATAAGTTGTCTATTATGAAAATGTGTATTTTTGGACACACATCATCATAGCTTCCCAAATACATCCTAGAATTTATATTCAGCACTCCTGCTATATAACCAGACATTGAAAGGTATTAAAAGACACTTTTATGTAATAGGATTTGGGATGGTGTTTTATGGGATAGCTTCTATAAAAGCACTTTTTAAGAAAAGCTTTCTACAGTGGGTAAATGTAAACATGGGCTGTTCTTTGATCTCCATGCAGCTCTGTTTGGCCAGACTAGTTAAATAAAGGAATTTTGCTACGCTCCTGTGTCAGTAAAGGATACATCTTGAAATCATTTTAAGTCCACAAAGGACAAATCACCCCCATGTGCAAGTCAGCATTTTTATAATTTAATAACAAGTGCTGGTTCATAAACACTGAATAAACATTTATTGTATGAGTGGATAATTATAGTTAGGTTTTTTAAACAAAAAGCAAGTCAGTGAATGCCTCAGTAACAATTTACGTGGACATAATCTTTTTTATACATTGTCTTTGAATCACCATGTATTTTTCTTTTTATTAAGGTATAATTTATGTACGGTAAAATTTACCCTTTTTAATGTGTATTACTTTGAGTTTTGAATTTTATACAGTGATGTCATGACAGCTACAGTCAAGACCTGTAACAGTCTTAACGTCCCCCAACTGCCTCCCAGCTTCCTTTGTAGGCAGTCCTGCCTTTCACTCCTAGCCCCTGGCAAGTCTGGTGTTAGTCTTTTAAGTTTTGCCTTTGTGAGACTATCATGCAAATGGAAGAATATGGTGTATAGTCTTTTAGCATGATGCATTGGATATTTATCTGTGTTGTTTCATGTTTCATTATTTTGTTCCTTTTTATTATTCTGAGTAGTGTTCTGTATGGATATACACAGTTTGTTTGTCACTTTCCCAGGGGAGGGACATTTGGATTATTTCCTTTATGGGGTGGTTATGACTAAACTACCATAAACATTTGTACACAGACTTTTGTGTAGGTTTAGGTTTTCATTTCAGAATTTGGATAGTTCATTGATTTTATTTCTTTTGTGGATTGTGATTTTGGTGTCATATTTACAAGCTCTTTGCCTTGCATATGGTCATAAAGATTTTGTCCTGTTTTCTTCTAGAAGTTATTTATTTTAGGTTTTATAATTAGATATGTGATAGTGAAACTAGTTTTGTTTTGGTTTTCAACCAAATGCAAAGTAAATGCCTTATTAATGATAAGAATAGTCTGTTTCTTTTATGTAGTGTCTCTGAATCACTGAGGACTTACATGTGAGATTTTAGACTAGATCTAACTATATAAAATTCACAATGCTGTTAATTATCACATGTTTTTAACTTGATGATCCTTGGTTTGTTTTAATTTGTTACAGAGTAACAAATTAAATTTGTTAACTTTGTTAAGACAAATTTAATTTATTACTAAAATGCCAATAATTTATTTGTATCTAGTGATTTATCTTTTTTTTTTTAATCCTCACCCGAGGACACGTTTATTTATTTTATAGAGTGGGGAAGGGAGGGAGTGGAGAGGGAGAGCAACACAGATGTGAGAAACATCTATTGGTTGCCTCCTGCATGTGCTCTGGTCAGGCACCAATCTGAAACCTAGGCATGTGCCCTGACCAGGAATAGAACCTGTGACCCCTTGGTCTGTGGGATGATGCTGCAGTTAACTGAGCCACACCAGCTAGGGCTGGATCTGGTGATTTAAATGACAAGATACACCTTTTAAATGATAGCTTGTGTTTTTATATTTTTAAGTATATTTTATTATACTATTTCAGTTGTCCCATTCTTTCTCCCCTTTATCACCCTCTGCCCAGTACCCCTATTCCCTCCAGCATTCCTCCCAACTTAATTCATGTCCATGGGTTGTACATATAAGTTCTTTGGCTTCTCTATTTCTTTTTTAATTTTTATTTTTATTTTATTGATTATACCATTATAGTTGTTCTAGTCCCCTCTTCCCCTCCACCCTGCACCCCCCACCCCTACAATTCCCCCCCTTTAGTTTATGACCATGTGTCTCAAGTTCTTTAGATTCTGTATTTCCCCTACTATTCTTGCCCCCCATCTATTTTCTACCTACCGTCTATGCTACTTATTTTCTGTACCTTCTCCCCCCTTCTCCTTCTCCCACTCTCCTGTTGCTAACCCTCCATGAGATCTTCATTTCTATGGTTCTGCTCCTGATCTAGCTGTCCTTTTAGTTTGCTTTTGTTTTAGGTATGGTTGTTAATAACTGTGAGTTTGCTGTCCTTTCACTGTTCATCTTTTTTATCTTCTTTTTCTTGGGTAAGTCCCTTTAACATTTCATATAATAAGAGCTTGGTGATGATGAACTCCTTGAATTTGATCTTATCTGAGAAACACTTTATCTGTCCTTCCACTCTAAATGAAAGCTTTGCTGGATAGATCAATCTTGGTTGTAGGTCTTTCGTTTTTATGGTTTGGAATACTTCTTTCCAGCCCCTTCTTGCCTGTAAGGTCTCTTTTGAGAAATCAACTGGAAGTCTGATGGGAACTCCTTTGTAGGTGACTGTCCCCTTAGCTCTTGCTGCTTCTAGGATTCTCTCCTTCATTTTAATCTTGGCTAATGTAATGATGATGTGCCTTGGTGTGTTCCTTCTTGGGTCCAACTTCTTTGGGACTCTCTGAGCTTTTTGGATTTCCTGGAAGTCTATTTCCTTTGCCAGATTGGGGAAGTCCTTCATTATTATTTGTTCAAATAAGTTTTCCACTGGTGTCTGGCTGTTCCTTTCCCCCTTCTGGTACCCCTATAATTTGGATGTTGGAGCATTTAAAGATGTCCTGGAGGTTCCTAAGTCTCTCCTCATTTTTTTTGAATTCTTGTTTCTTCATTCTTTTCTGGTTGGTCATTTTTTTCCTCCTTCTGGTCCACTCCTTTGATTTGAGTCCCAGTTTCCTTTCCATCACTATTGCTTTCCTGTGCATTGCCATTCATTTCAATTAGTTTAGCCTTCATATGTTCCTCTAATTTGTGACTAAAATCAACCAGTTCTGTGAGCATCCTGATCAGCAGTGTTTTGAACTGTGCATCTGAAAGTTTGGCTATTTCTTCGTCACTTAGATTTAGGGGCTCTGGGGCTTTTAGATCTTGAGCCATTTATAGTCTGTTCCCACCCATTAAGTGTGAGGAGCGGAGCCTTAGGGGCAGGGCCTCCAGGGCAGGGTCGCTGGGTTGTGACACTCTATGTGGGGGCGGGGTCAGAATTGGGAAATGGCCCTCTCTGCTGCCTCCCGTCGCTGGGACCCGCTTGGTCCCTTCTCACTGCCCACTCCCTCACTGGTCTATCTGTGCAGGAATGCGCCAGCACAGTCAACCCACAGACCTTCACCCTCGCCGGATCCATTGGTAGCTCACTGGGTCACTCACTGGGTCTGCCCTTTGCAGCCCCACGCCTGGGATCCCTGCGCCTGAGTCCATCTGACCAAGTTTTCCTGTGCAACCCTGCTCCACCAGCTGCTGGTTTCGCCTCTCTTACCGGTCAGGCTGAAGTATTCGTTGTTATCAGACTTCCGAAAAGTTCAATTTTCTGTGTTCTGGCTGTGTTTTCTGTTGCTAATATTTTGTTGTCTCTCAACTTGGTTGTGGGAGAAAGCACGGCGTCTCCACCTATGCCTCCATCTTGGCGGAAGTCCTCCATTTCTTATACTATTCTCAACCTGCCCCTGTCTATTTTCTTCCTACCATTTATGCTTCTTAGTCCCTGTACCTTTTCTTCCATTCTTTCTCTTCCTCCTCCCCGCTGATAACCTTACATGTGATCTCCACTTCTGTGATTCTGTTCCTGTTCTAGTTACTTGCTTAGTTTTGTTTGTTTTAGGTTCAGTCATTGATAGTTGTGAGTTTGTTGTCATTTTACTGTTCATCTTTTTTATCTTCTTTTTCTTAGGTAATTCCCTTTAACATTTCATATAATAAGGGCTTAGTGATGATGAAATTCTTTAACTTGACCTTATCTGGGAAGCACTTTATCTGTCCTTCCATTCTAAATGAAAGCTTTGCTGGATAGAGCAGTCTTAGATGTAGGCCTTGCCTTTCATGACTTGAAATACTTCTTTCCAGCTGCTTCTTGCCTGCAATGTTTCCTTTGAGAAATCAGCTGATAGTCTTATTGGAACTCGCTTCTTTTCTTTTTATAATATGTCTTGGTGTGTTCCTCCTTGGATCCAACTTCTTTGGGACTCTCTGTGCTTCCTGGACTTGCATATCAATTTCCTTTGCTAGATTGGGGAAGTTTTTCTTCATTATTTTTTCACATAAGTTTTCAATTTCTTGCTCTTCCTCTTCTCCTTCTGGCACCCCTATGATTTGGATGTTGGAACATTTAAAGTTGTCTCAGAGGTTCCTAAACCTCTCCTCATTTTTCTGAATTTTTGTTTCTTTATTCTGTTCTGGTTGAATGTTTATTTCTTACATCTGCTCCAAATCATTGATTTGAGTGCTGGTTTCCTTCCCTTCACTGTTGATTCCCTGTATATTTTCTTTTATTTCACTTTGTATAGCCTTTATTTCTTCCTTTGTTTAGTGATTGAATTCAGTCATTTCTGTGAGTATTTTGATTAGCAGTGTTTTATACTGTGCATGTGATAGTTTGGCTACTTCCTTGTCAATTCTTTTTCTGGAGTTTTGCTTTATTCTTTCAATTGGCTCATATTTCTTTGTCTTTGCACATCTGTTACATAGTAAGGGGTGGAGCCTAGGCATTCTGCAGGGTGGGGCACCTACTTTGCTGGGTTGTGGCGCTGCATGTGGGGAGGGTTCAGAGAGGGAACAATGCTGCTTGTTTGGCTCTCACCCTGCTTTCAGTCACTTCCCCTGCTTCCCACAACTGAATTTGTTGTGAGAAGCAGCACCCTTCCAGGTGCTGCCCTGTTGCTGATTCCTGGGTGGGTGGGTTTATGTACGTTCTTGTACACAGTGGACCCCTCCAAAAGACTCTCCTGTGAGACTGGGGGTTTCTTTTGCTACCGCCACCCCCACAGATTTTCATAGCCTGAGGTTTTGAGGTTTCATTTCTAGTGCTGGAACCCTGGATTGCAAGGTCTGTCTCACTTCCCAGTTGTTCCTCCTGATTTATCCACGTGTGAAAGTGAGATTGCCTGGTCTGCCAGTCTCCAGCCTGTCCACCTGGTCCTCCGGCCACTGCCTTGCTGTGTGTCCTCTCTGCCCCAGCTGCCTGTCTCCTCTCCTCTTACCAGTTTGGATGAATGTTTTGTCTTTAACTCCTTGGTTGTTGGACTTCATACAGTTTGATTTTTCTGGCAGTTTGGGTTGTTTTTTTATTTTAAATTGGTCGTTATACTTCTTTTGGTTGTGTGAGGAAGCAAAGGTATCTATCTTTGCCTCTATCTTGGCTGGAACTGTTTTTATATTTTCAACCATGATTATAATGTCTTGACAGTGGATTATGTGTAAGCTTTACTACTTAAGATTTGTATATAACAGAATTGCTGTTTAGGTTTTGATATTGTTATATACAAGAAGATAAAATGATATGGTGGTTCTTGAGTGCTTTTATAATCTTTGTAGAAGTCAAGGTTTGATAAGTTTATCGAAGTTCCTGAAGACCAATTTTAGTCATGAATAACATGAAAAATGTTACAAGTTCTCTTTTTCCTCCTCTCACCTTTCCTTCCTTCCTCTTTTGCCCTTTCTCATTTCCTTTTCCTTCCTCCCTTTCACCTTATCCTCCCTTTCACCTTATCCTTCCTCCTTCTCTCCTCTTTTCTTCCCCTGATACTTTTCTTTACTCCTTCTCTCCCTCTGTCTTCTCCCTCCTCTTCCTTTCCCTCTCTTCCTCTCCTGCCTGCTGAAGTGTTCTCTGGGATGCTCTTGCAGGGGCATCCAACTTGTAGCCCACAGACCGCATGCAGCTCAGGATGGCTGTGAATGTGGCCCAACACAAAATCGTAAATTTACTAATACATTATGAGATTTTTTTTGTGTGATTATATGTTGCAATGTATTTAATGTGTGGCCCAAGACAACTCTTCTTTCAGTGTGGCCCAGAGACACCAAAAGGTTGGACACCCCTGCCTAGTGCTTTGTCTGATTGTAACAGTAGGCCCCCAGTGGAATGATTTTGAGTGGGAGTGGAATTAAGATAAAATTTAAGAATTGGATAGTTAAGAAATAGTGTTTTCAGTTGGTATTAGTTAGTGAAGTACTCCCAGTGATCAGAACACAGTGAATGGCTGATAAGTGTATACAGATTCAGGGATGATACTTAAAATAAGATATATTTTGATTCACTTTTTGTGTCGTAGCTTTTTTCATAATTGTAAATTTCTTGAACTCTAATTTTAAGACAAAATAACCTGGTTTTAGAGATAGATATCTTTGATCCAATAAAGATATGTTTGACTTATCTCACTTGACCTTTTGCTGGAAATAGTTTTTAAGTTGCTTTGCTACCTTAAGTTTACTATTATTAGTATTAATTTGGAATAAGGCTGTATAGCAAACATTTTCTTCTTTTACTCTCCCAAATGTCATTCTTACTTGTTTAGTTTACTTTTAGTGGTTAGTGAGTTTGTGGGGTGGAGCTGGGGAAGTGAGTCCTCGCTAATTGTGATGATTTGGAAAGCCTATCAGATTATTTACATACTAAAATCTTAATATTAATTAGTAGTCTATTTAGATGTAGCTTTTCTAGACCTAATCATGAATCTGTTTTTCTGTTTTTATATTGAATATAATGTCTGCTGAGCGATAATTGTCACCTTGCATCATGTTTTGCCTGATAACTAATTTAATTAGCTAACATTGTCATTTTTCATAATCTTATTAAGATTTAGGCTTTGTACCCAAAGTATTTCATTGTCTGAGATAATTTTCTTTTAATGGCAAATTTATGTTTGCTTCCTCTTCCAGGTCATCCTGTTCAGTTCTACAGCATGAATAGACCTGCCTCTCGCCACACTCCCCCAACAGTAGGGGGCTCATTGCCCTATAGACGCCCTCCTTCTATAACTTCACAAACAAGCCTTCAGAATCAGATGAATGGAGGACCTTTTTATAGCCAGAATCCAGGTTAGATATTTATTGCATTCTATGGAATGTACCTGGTTAATATCCTTCAGTGACAAAGGAAAAAAACCCTTTAATTACAAATGATTAATTAGCACATGATAGGTGGTCAGTACTATATTTTTTTAATAAATGGAAGAATGAATACAAGGTTCCTAATACTGTATTTTCCAGTTCTTTTTCTTTTTTAAAAAACATCAATATATGGTTTTTATATAAAGTTGTAGAACTTAATTTTCCTGAATAGAATCTTTTTGAATATGCTAGTGATTATTTGCTTTTAAAAATAGTATATTGTGTTAAACAATATTTTCTTCCTATTTAATCAGATATACTTACTCTATGAATAGCAAATAATGACAATCAAATATATATGACCAGAGTTTATAAGTAGCAAAGTAAAGGGGACATTTTTGAAGTTGCTTTGTGCTAGGGAGTTATACTATCTTATTTAATGAAAATACCAAACCTGTGATGGGAATACTGGGACTTGAACAGATTGTTTCAGATATAACATCATTCAGTTGCATCATGCATACAGAAAACTTAATCTGGCACATATTTATTATATAATATTTTTGATTTTCCAGAAAGGGTAAGAGAAAAACCTTAGAATTTATGTAGATATGATATTATTGTAGATATGGTATGCCAACTTACTATGTTTTTCTGGATTTTTGTCAAGAGGCCAGTAAGTTTGTATGTGATTGCCTGTAATATTAGGAGATAGCCCATTTTATATTTGATATACCCTTAATTTTATGGAGTTCGAATCTGTATGCTGTGGCTGCTACCTTTTGGTGAGACCTTGTTTTATTCTTTGGAATTGTGTAGAAGAAATTTGAACTCTTTTTTTTAAAGATTTTACTTATATAGAGAGAGGGAGAAGAGGGAGAAAGAGAGAGAGAGAAACACTGATATACGAGAGATATATCGATGGGTTGCCTCTCACACGCCCCCAGCTGGGGACCTGGCCCGCATGTGCCAGGCATGTGCCCTGACTGGGAATTAAACTAGCAACCCTTTGGTTTGCAGACCGGCACTCAGTCCACTGAGCCACACCAGCCAGGGCTGAACCCTTTTCTTGAACACAGTTTAAAGAATGCGTTTATATTTATTATCTTATTTGATTCTTACAATTATGTGATCATTTTCATCTGTATTTTATGGGTGAGGAAACTGAGACTCAGGAAACTGAGACTGAGGTGATGGTCAAATTAGGATTTGAACTTAGGTTATCTGACTTCATATTCTTTCTATTATACTTTGTTACCTACCTTCACATTTAAAAAATATGTATTTTTCTTATTCTCTCATGTGTTCTGTTTTGTTGGGAGGAGGAAGTCCACATTGGATGGTAAAGTGCATGAGCCCCTGAGACATTGCCATTCATTTACACAGTTATAATTTGGGAATTGTGCTCAATAACTATTTGTTGAATATGGAATGAACCCCTTTTTCCTTTATTCAGATCCCTTCAGTGTTTTGGGTCTCTCTTCAAATTAAATGCTGGATTTATATTCTATTCAGTGCACCCTGTCATGCCTTACTTGAAATATATTTCTTCCTGCTATCTTTGATCACACTTAGTAATGTTGGCTGTGCCATTCTTTTTAACTCATTTTGAGCGTAATTTTGACAAATCTGCCTTTTTATTCTTTCTATTAAATCATGTGTTCCAAACCCATATTTGAATAGGAGTTATCTTGTACCTAAATGCATTTTTATTTTTAAATTTCTGTTTGTTATATATGGATTATTTCATAGTTCTCTCTCTCTGGCCATCTTGGAAATCTAGATAGTTATAGCTTAGGGCCCTTATGCCCTTTCTTATCTTTGGAAGAATGTTGGAAGAATGATGTCAACCCCAAATGGGGTGGTTCTGGAGTTGAGATGCTTCACTGTTACAGCTTGGGACCAACTCTACATAATATACAGAACATAATGAGTTGGCCACAAAGTCCATTTAGTTTTTTGTGTAAAAGACACATTTTTCCATTTCACCAATGCAATTGCTGATTGGAATATTTTGAGTATGTCAGCTGTCTCCCACTATTGGCTTCTAGTGAGTAGAGGCCAGGGGTGCTGCTAAACATCTTCCAATGAATAAGACAGCCCCACAGAAAAGAATTATTTGGCCAAAATGTCAATAGTACCAAGAAACTTCATAAACCACTTTTCACATGTTCGATCAGTCACAGCACCTTCTCCATATACTGCACAAATCTTGTTCTGCATTTCAGTTGCATTTTCACCTTTCTTGAAATAATAAAGCATAAGACGCTGAAAATGTTGCCTGTCATCTTCTGTCTTCAATATTAAAATGGCTACACAAAAATCCACCAATTTTGGTAAGTTTTCTAAAGTGCATGCTGCTATGACAGCTGTCACAATACAGTATAACAAAATTGTTTCAAATGAAGTTTAAAGACAACTAAACACTACTAGAGCCATCATGCAGAAAAAACTAAATGAACTTTTTGGCTAACTCAATGTATTCAAGGACACTTCATGCCATGTACATGTACAAAGTATTGATCTTATGAGAACCCGGTTAGTGGAAATTATTTGAAGGCTGTTTAGGCACATATTTAAATGTTTTAATACTTATTTCAGTACTTCTTTCTTTATAAATCTAATTTTAACATACTTGAAAGTATATATTAAAGTAGAAAAATATCTTACTCTTTGGAATCATTTTAGTAAAAGTATTTTTTATGCTCATGAAAGTACAGTGAATTGAAATTGTGAGCCTTCAATGTAATGTGTGAGGCAGTTTAGTTAGGTGTTTAGTGTGTGTGTGTGTGTGTGTGTGTGTGTGTGTGTGTGTGTGTGTGTTCGTTCGTTCCTGTCTATTAAGTTCTGCTTTTCCACTCCAGGGATTTGGTAACTGCTTGCTTATAGAGTGTAACTGCAGCCTTTTTAGTTGATTAATCAGAGTGCTTGTTCTAAACTAAAAATGTTTTTTACTAAAACATGTTCTTTGAAGTTTTTTCTTCTTTTACAAGACTTAATGCCTTACAAATCAGTATATTAAAGCTATTAAATGCACCTTTATTTTATTTGCTTTATAATATCATATAAGCCTCATGTATTACTCCACTGGTCTTACAGTGGTCCCTGTTTTTTCATATTTAAAGTGAGAAAATTTGTGCATTTTCAAGTAGCTAATAACCTGATTTAACAAAATGACCCCAGGTATGCTTTATGAGCATATTTTTGGCAGTTGGGGGCTTGACATGGATGTGTGCTTCTGAAGAAGTGAGCTAACAGGCTGAGATTCATCTGGATGTAGTTCACTTGGGGTTTCTTTGAGACGTAAATCTAGCCGCACTGTTGCTAGACCTGGTTTGAGTTTGAAAGGCTATTATAACATAGGAAGTAAAATGCAGAACACAGGTGTCTAGAGCCAAGTCCTGGGAGCACAATGATGAAAGGAACACTTTGGTTCTTATTGTTTCTTAACCTAATCCAGCCAAAGAAATTACAGCATCAGTTTATCATTCATCTTGTCAACACTAAGAGGAGGGTCATCAAAACATAGGACTAATCACAAGTTAACAGTGTTTAAATATAAATACGAAGCACCTTGGCAGTGAAAAAAGAATACACACACACAAATAATACATATATAAACCTAGTTTGGTAAGTGTCTCAGTTGGGCTTCTATAACAAAGTTCCACAGACTGGATGCTGATAAACAACAGAAACATCTCACAGTTCTGGAGCCTGGAAGTCGGAGATCAGTGTGTTAACATGGTCCGAGTTCTGGTGAGAACCCATTTCTGGGCTGCAAACTACCACCTTCATGTTGAGGCCTCACATGGTAGAAGAAGAGAGAGCGAGCTCTGTGGGGTTTCTTTTACAAGGGCACTGATCCCTTTCATGAGAGCTCCACCCTCATGGGCTAATCCCCTCCCCAAGGCCCTACCTCCTATACCAACACATTGGGAATTAAGATTTCAAGCATATGAATTTTGGGAAGACGCAAACCTTCAGTCTATAATTGTAAAGAATCAATTATGTGGTATTTAAATAGTAAGGCTTTGGTAAAAGATATTCTATATTTTATTGTTCATATTTTCTAACAACAAAACCTCAAAAAAACCTTGTAATTCATAAAGTAGAATGTTGGTTCCAAGAACTGTGACTGTATACAGTTATATGAGATAGAGAAATTTCTGAATGTTATTTTAACACAGGGAAAATGTCATGCTATAACCCCCGAATATTATTAAAAACAACTAAAAATTAAAAAACAGTGAAAAACAATATTGGGTTGGTAAAATTGCAAAAGAAAAGCCATATCACATTAAAATGATAGTTAAGTTACAGAATTATCAAAAATATCAAGAAGAGGACTTCTGCCAAGATGGAGGCATAGGTGGAAACACTGTACCTTCTTGTACAACCAAGTTTAAAAACAACAAAGTTTTAGCAACAAAAAATGCAGCCAAACTACAGAAAATTGATCTATACAGAAATCCGACAACAACGAACCATTCAGCCAGACGGTAAGAGGGGCGAAGCCAGCAGTGGAGCGGGTCGGGCAAAAAAGATCCCCTGACCCAGGCACAGGCAGCCGAGGGAGGATCCCAGGTGTGGGGTAGCAATGGGTGGACCCAGTGAAGGTGCAAGGCAGCAGGCTGACTGCGGTCACACATTCCAGCACAGATAAACCAGTGAAGGAGCGAGCAGTGAGACAGACCCCGCAGGCCCCAGCAGCAGGAAGCAGCAGAGGGGATCACTATTGCTCCCTCTCTGACCCTGCCCTCATACAGTGTCACAAACCAGCCACCTGGGTGGCCCTGCCCTGTTGAACATCTAAGGCTCCTCTCCTCATGCGTAACAGGCCTGAACAGATCAAAACATGGCTCAAGAACAACTCAGAGCCCCAGAGCCAATAAATCTAAGCGAACAAGAAATTGCCAACCTATCAGAGGCACAGTTCAAAACACTGGTGATCAGGATACTCACAGAACTGGTTGATTTTGGCTACAAAT